TATAGTATATATGTCGAAGTAATCCCACAATTTGGAACAATGATCTACATTAACGATGTAGAAAGTCCTTCCTCTCCTTCACCTTTTAAACGCGACAAGCTAGCGAGGTCGGGTGAACTCCAAGTGGAGAGGTATAGTGTATCCACAAACAATTATAGTTTTGTGCCGTACCTGCACTAACTTCGAAGGGAACTTGAAAATCGCCGACGTCGTACGATGAGGGATATACCTCGTGGCCTAGTGTCAAGTGGACACAATCCTATACTTTTTGTCGAATGTAGAGAGGGCTATCGTGGTTCCTTGTTTCGAAGGTCTCTCTATCGATCCAAAACCGCTTGGTTTATGGTGCGAATTGGCTAAGTCTTCCTCAGATAATGAACGTTTGGAAATTGATCCAGATGTTGATAATGATTGATACAAATACTTGCTCGAGAATGCTCGAACTGTCCACCGTTATTCACTAAATGACATGAAAAAATCGGTTGTGGACTTCAATCCGAACTTAATTTACTGTTTCCGGGGTGAATTTCGAACTCTTGTTATTTCGATACGGCTTGACAGAATGGAGGGACCACGTCACCGCTGTTCACATTTGATTAATCAAGTTGGTAGTGCTCACATAATACTAGGCTGAATGACCACACTCATTTTTATTCCTGAAGGTAGTAAGAAAATAACTGTTTTACTTGAATTTCACCCGCTCCCGCTGGTTACATTTGGTCAATAGTTAACCTTTCAGTAGTCGCACGCGGAGAATCACTCCGCACGAATATAAAACGTGGGTTTTCTAAATATTCTTCATTTTCTTATGTCGCCGCACTTAGTACCTTCCTAAAAATGACGACTTCAGTACGAATCTGGTATTACCGATGTGAAAAATTGCTTCGTTTTTGAATTTCATAACGTAGTGCGGAGTCGTACTCCGCAGCGACCTCAGACGTTTCAGTTATATAACATATTGCAGTTACACTTTGCAGCTATTTTGGGAGTTTTAGGCAAAAATTGTTTCTCATTTGATGAATGATATTCCATAAAATACCGTTTTGTTAACACACATGATCGATGATGTACATGTGTCATGTGCTTATTAGAACCCGCTTTGTTCATTCGCAGAAATTGCCGATGAGTCATTGAAGGTTTGGAATTGAAACATTTTCAGTTTGTCCTCAAATTATAGTGTTTTTGTTCAAATTCTAGTCAACAAATCTTCGATATTTGTTTTATGTTAATTTTGGATATTGTTATTAAATACCTATATTCCCATTGCAATTTTGACATTTTACTCCGTAGAGATATTCATGTCCAGAGGCATACTGATGAAATCTTCGGAAAAATTCAATTCATCATTATGATCAAACCACCCAAATTCTCCATTGTGGAGTCATACTCTGCAGCCACTGACTATGTCCTTTTCATGGCGCGACTACTGGAAGGTTAAATTAGGGGGACGACTCTTCATAGACAAACTGTATATCCAGCTATACCTTGATATTTCACCACAATACAATACATTGAATTATATCATCGTATTGTTTCCTAATCTCATGATCCCTACAGCTTTGCTCTATAAATTCCTCTCCGATCTGAATACATCTCTATTCTACTAGCACAACGTGTTGTATACACATATCAAGTAGGTTGTGTAAATAGACAAACATATGTATGTGCGGAGATTCTGCTTGATAGATTGTGATCGGGGGCAAAGGAAACACCAACCAATTAGGAAGTTAGGTTTGATCAGAAAACGGTCGCCGTGGGAAAATCGCTGGCAAGTGAAGTGACTCAGAGGAACATTTCATTAGGACAAAGTGTCTTACTGCAAGAATACAATTATCAATTTATCGTTGTGTACGACATTCTTTATATGATCGTACTTCGTGATGGAGTTTTGGACGTAGATCCTAGTTGTTCAGGAAGTCTAACTCAATATTCGACGAGGCAAATAGCCATGAGAGTAGTTTTTTTTCTGTTGAATATTGAGGATTTTTCCATATTCATATACCAGGTGTTTCAGCTCTTTTCATACAGCCAATATCTCAGTTTTGCAGCATGAGAAAAAATTTGAAGAATCACGATTTTGTCAAAACCACGTGACTGTGATGCCGTGGTGTCAAAATCAACTTCTGTCAAACTTCTCGTGGTTGATTTGTGATAGTTCTAACATCAACGATGTATCACACTCGATTTTTTTCATAATACGAAAGAGACAGTATCAGGTGTGGATGATTTGTTTCGTTATATATTTGTATCACAGGAATTTGTCCACTCGCCTCTAGGTCAGTTTGTAGAAACTTACAACTCAAGACAATGTCTATTACGTTTACTTTCAATGAGTATTCTGTCAATTGGACATCAGTCAAATTATCAAGTGTGATACCTCGTTGAACTAAGAATTGATTGCACTTAGGAATCGAATGAAAAATTCATAGGGTGTGATTCAAATTATAATCCAAGTTGAAATACCATTCAGGGGTAGTTTGATGAAAGTCTTCTTTGACTGGCTTCGAAGTCATAATATGGGATTATCAAGAGTGTGATTTTGTCAATTTTCTTGGATATTCCATGGATATAAAGATATGGAATACCCAGTTTATGAATGTATCTGAAAATGAATGCAAATTCATAACTCCAGAAGATATTTTATTCGAATGTTCATTGTGAGTTCAACAAATGTAATCGAATGTTAATCGTGGCATATAGCCAGGGTGGAAGTTGTGTTCTGTTGAATATACTGAGAATGAATAATTATCCTCATCTGTTGAATTCTTGATGTATTTCTTGACGTATATCTCCATATATATCCACTTCTTGATGCTTATAATATATAATGATATAAGAATATTCCTTTTCGAACAGGAACAATAGCATTGATTTCTCTTCAATTGTTCAGGATATAATATGGTATTCACTACTCAAAATCTGAACATTGAAAAGGTGAGTTCAATATCAACTTACGACCATAGCCAACATCACCATTGGCACTGATAATTGTCAAAATCTGAAGGGAATTTGTGATAAAAGTATTGTCCATTATCCAAGTTGAAAGCAGTAGAAGATTCGTTTCAGAAACGTCCAAAAATTAGAGAAAATTATATTTCTTTCAATATACCTATATTCTTCTTCTCCAAAGTTCTTTCAGAACAACATGTCACTGACAAGCGACAGAATCCCTCTTAGGAACATTTCCAAACGCAGAATTGTTTCGGAGCAAATCATCTGATTTGTCCTCACTACACGAAGAACATCCTTAGGACTTATCGTCGAGACATTTAGGACGTCCATGAAACATTCGAATTCGGGACCACAAACGTCCATTCTAATCAAGCACTAAGAAGGACATCCGTATCATAGCCTGTCAGCATCGCTGAGGGATAATAAGTGGATGTCCATAGGATTTTCCTGAGATGTACGGATTATTATTGGATTTCAATATATTTCATTTTCTCCCTAGGACCAGATCTTGCACCCCAGATGAGGATATCCAATTGTCCTGAAAGTCCGTAGATGGTCCCCAATAAGTCCTGGAGAAGGTTTCTAGGAGGTCTCATCAGAGAAGTTTCTCGAGGATAACCAATGGACTCGTAAAAGACATCAACGAATAGTATTCATAGGTACCTAACGAGAAGTCGATCGTCGGCGAGGTGTTATTTGACGTCATCGCAGAAACAACATAATGAAAGTATCGACTAAGAGGTACTCAGGACGTTATTTCTAGGACAATGAATGAAACACTAATTTGTGAGGAATTTTCATATAGGATGTCTATCTTGAGGCTCTATGCCAATGTATACCACCGATATATATCCCTCAGAACATGGTATTAATAATCAAAAATAAAACATTAACGTCTAATGAATTTGACTACCACGAATAAAAATTCTTGCCGAAGTCATAACAGTCCATGTATCGATAGGGACGTCCAAACGATATGACAAAGGGACATATCGAAAGTAATATGATCCTGGAAATTTTGTACCGTCTGGGATATTTTATGTTCGTTCTAGAAGGGACATTATTCAAGATATGGAGTCATGTCAGAATATGTACTACATGAGACATCCGATCCAACGTTCGCAATCATACCCCATCAGAGACATGCGAAAGAAGATTGATATTTTAAGGGAATATGTGATGATGAAACAGCTGACATATTTCATGGACGTCCTACATTCGGACGCAAATTGTACCAAATTGGGACGTTCCAACTTCTCCTCAGGATGTTGCGTGCTATAATAGCACGCAACATCCTGAGGTACTCATATTTTCATCCGATATAGGAACGAGGAGAAATCTGAAGAAATTTACTTCAATTCAAGTTGCTGGAATGAAATATTCTCAGGAAAAATCTCCTAGGAGGTAGTTGTTTTTCGTTGAATAAACCAAGAAAGGGTTGATATTTTCATCTCATAGAAAATGCAAATTCTCAATTTATTTTTTTATATATAAATAAATCTATTTGTCCATGTTGAAATTTCTAACTAAGAATACTTCTACTCGATACTTTCAACCGAACAAGTGGTTTAAACATCAACGAAATATTCTTATTATTTTTATATGTATACCTCTAATCGCAGACTCGTGATCAGATTTCCACAATTCCAAAGTTCTGTCCACGTCCTGTATGGTGAATATCAATTCGTCAAACATTCGAAATCATTCAGTTGCTTGATTTCCCATCCCATCATCACTCTTGTTCAGAAAGAGTTTCAATGAAGAAGCGGAGTAGGAGGGATATGGAATGCTTTATGAAATTTTTATATTCGTGTGGTGAGGACTCAAATCAAGAGTGATATTTTTATATCATCCAAAGAAAGAATAACTACTTGAATATCGAAACGGAAAGAGAATATTGAACAATCAGTGAATTTTTGAAATATTTCGTCTCACGGTGTTGAAAACCATCCTCTTACCCTCCTCAGGAAATACAATGTTGAGCTAAAATTCCATCAATCAATCAATCAATAAATCAAATTTCGAATTGATTGAAAGACATTCGAGTCATGAATGGAAACACGATTTGTCATGTGAATATCAACCCCCTGTGTCTCAAAACCGAAGCGAGAGAAATATCGCAAGTAACTGCCCCCTCAGAAATGTCGCAATTATTTCATGTCAGTGTGGCAGCGTGTGTTTGCAAGGTAGAGGAGGAAGCTTCAGTTGCTGCTTGCTACAACTCTACTACCTCTAAAATCTATTTCAGATAGTTCCACGCACTTCCTATGTCCAACACTAAACTGCACATTCAAATCACACTAACCGAGTTATGTTCTATCATTCCAGATATCTTGGATGAGAAAAAGGGACTTACACATCCTCACATCAAGCATACATACGTACACAGGCGATGCTCGATTCAGCGTGCGCCATCCCGAACATTCGGACGACTGGGACTTGCGCATCGAGTACGTCCAGAAGAGGGATGCTGGCGTTTACGAGTGCCAGGTGAACACTGAGCCAAAGATCAACCTGGCGATAATGCTGGAAGTCGATGGTGAGTACATATTAAAGTTGAATGGAACAGAATTCATTATTATTGGGAAAAAACATTCAGGAAGATTTCTTGCTGGAAAGTAGTTCTCAGAATTATTTCCTAAGGATCGGTGGATTTTGAGAAATGGGCAATCGAAGATCTTCTGACAGAACAGGTTTCATTAATTCCTGGCGGAATCAACACAGCTGAAGTATCCTCATGTTCATCAAGACTTGTCCTATTTGGATAATGTAGACAAGTGCATCTTCAATTAATCTTTGATGACGAACGCCATATTTTCAATCGGAAATTCTTGAGCTCTCCAGATATTTGATGTGATCAATATTGGTGGTTCTTTCTAGAGTCGCTGGATAGTATTGATGATGTTAGTTCGGACACAAAAATGACAATTGTTAGTTTTTTCGAATGTTCAGATTTATCAAGTTACACACCTCGCATTGTGACAACAGCATCATAGTCGTTTCGCGCTCTTTCATTCAAAATTGTTTGAATTTAACAATGAATTTTTTGAACGTCAGAATTGAAATATAATTTCATAAATCAATGAAAAAAAGCATGAATGTAAATGTCCTGCAGTGTAATGAAGTTTGTAAATTCTGGAGGGAATGGCAATTCGATTCTTTTAATTTTCCGAAGGAAATATCAACCATTTCCTTATGGAACGAATGTATGGAACGGCCTGCTGGGAAATTAATTTAAAGACATGCAAAATTTGTGAGGTGAGTTCATTACATTGGAATACACATCTCATAACAGCAGATTGGGATGAAACTATATTTTAGTACCATTTACGAACAGAAGATTCATGAGATCCGTTGTTCCATTGATTCAACAAACAGACTATTGAAAAAAAATCCAATATCACCATCATAGGAAATGCGAAACAGAATAGGGGGAAATGATGTTGGAACTTGATTTAATAAAAAAATTGGGAACGAAAATATATTGATAAAAGTGAGTGTATAAACCCTATATCTATTTGCCATCTACGACAATGAATGATTTGACAGAAAATCAAACTTCTGAGATTGTATCTGGAGATCAGGCGCTACTTGGAAAATTGAGAAGACAAAGAGCAGAATATATGTCTTATTCTTTCATTGACTCAAACCATTGTTATATAAAAAATGTAAGAATACAGACGTTCAGCTGTTTCCGAACTCTTATCTAACTAATACCATCCAGTGACTCTAGTTGAGGATAACTAAAAACAAGGCAATATTCCTACATTTGTTGGCAGATTATTCTTCTTCCTCTTTTGTAATGAGTAGGACTCGACCAATTCTCGAGCACCATAGAATCTGATTAGTATGAGATGATGAATAACTCGCATATATCTCGTGTCAATTCCGTTGCACACACTTTCTAAAAACAATGGGAGAAATTTCACAAGAACCGTTTGCTTTATTGGTTCGAGATAGATACTTTCACGAGAAATCTTCCACAGGATTCAATGCTATCATTATATCACTAGCAATACCAGTAATACGAACTCTACAGGCCTAGTCAGTATATTCTTTCGTCGTTCACCTTGGGAAACGTCGAACAACACTGTATCAAAACTTGTTTGTCTATGAAACGGCGGAACTTCGAAATACTTTGCCAATGGAAGTATTCCCAAGAACTTATAACCTCCAGAAGTTGAAGACGATTTTAACAACTAGCTCTCCACTATATATATCCTTCTTGGGTTCGCACGATGTTCCACGAACATTATGAGAATTTTGTTTCGTGCGCTCCAAGTTATAACACAAGCATAATGCGTCCACAAAAGTTAGCTGACACAATGCGAAACCGGACATTTTACTCCCAAAAAGAGAAATATCTGGCGGAACACTTCGCTGGAAATCTTAAGTGGAATTCAGTGCGAAATTTTCATGGAAAATATTCGCTGTCTCTCGCGATCATATTGCTATTGTGATGTCGTCTCCATTGGTGATTTTTCATTTCACAGTATAAATTGAATATTAAACATCTTTAACACTATTCTTGATTTATGTTTCTCATTTTCCGAACTCAATGAAAACTGTCAAGGATGATGGAATAATATATTGTTCAGATTGTAGAACAAACAATAATCTATGGAATGTTGTATTAACGAATTGATTGTTTATCGACAATTTCCATAGGAATGAATTATGCAGTGCAATCGAAATTATCTAAAATTATCACGTTTCATGGAGAGAGGGCTGACATATTTAACATATTTGGGGTAGAAAATTGTTTCCACTACAGTTCTTGAGGGTTCTCAATGTTATTCAAAAGACCTCATCCATTTCCACAGTTTAGTGTATGAGGACACTAGTAGATGAGGAGACACGACTAACGTGTAAAATGAAACGAAAACCACTACATTCCACCAGTCCGCTGATGGAATACTTCTCCTGGTTTGGATGGGTATTTCAATGATGTAATTTCGACTCCTTTTGTATATGCATGATATGTTCAATTCCAACATTGATTTTGACTGGGTATTTTTCGAGATTAATCCACTTGAATCCAGTTATTGAAATAAATCAACATTTCGTTATCAGAAACTCATTTGGAGACTAATGATTCTTTTTTGGCTTGGAGCACATGAAAGAAATTTCCTATAATGTTTGAAAAACATCGTTCACACCAAGGGATGAGAAGATGAGGTTTTTCGAAAATTTCTGCAGATTATAAGTTTTTGGGATCGCTACCTATGGCGAAGGATTTCGAAACTTTGCCGTTCTCTATGGACGAACGACTTTTGGTGTAGGATTCGACATTTCCCAAGATTGACACCGAAACGATGAAATGTAATAATAGCAGAGATTTCTGAGGAACATTTTGCGTGGAAGTATCCATTGAAAAGTGCAAGGCTGCTGATTTTGGCATCACCCACCAAGGGAAATGACTCTTTCCTGAATAGAATCTAAGAGCATCAGCGTATGTTAAGTGCTCAACACCATTTGTGAGATCAGTATTCTCAACCTTTCTGATTATGAGAAGATATTGTGATGTAGAGTAGTTCTTCGCAAGAAATGAAAATATATATAGGTAGTGGTCTTGGTATTGATAATAGTACGAGACATTCTATAATATCAGGCCGTTCTGGTGAAAATACAGGCTTGAGTCTTGGTGTTGTTGAATTCAACTTGGTTGATAGTTTTCGAAGCAAAAATACTTGCGAGTGTGCGAAAAGTGATTCTCCTAGAAGAATGATAGTTATGAAAACGGGATATATTGTCAAACTGAAAAGGAGTAGAAACTGAAAATAGTATTTTGAAATACTAGTAGAACACAATTTTATGAATAGCCAGACTAAATATGAGTATCGAACAAAATAATGAGGATGTGTTGATGAATATCAAACTAAAAAAGTATTTTCTAGAAATTAATGTATATAGCGAAACAACGTTTGCCGTGTATCAGCTATTGTCATAAAAAGTAGTTTGAAAAACTGATGAAACACGTTCTTATGGATAGTCAAAACATGAAGTGATGAGTGAAATGTTGGAAGATGTTTGGAATACTGAAGAGATTCAGACTACAGAATCAAGAAAAAGTAAAAAATAAATAGGATAGTTTGAAAAACTGAAGAATCGCGTTTTCATGGACAGCCAAAATAAAAAGAAGAAGGAATGAAATAATAGAAGATTCTTGATAAATATTTACCTTGAAGAATTTTTTCTAGAGATGATGATCATGTCAAATCCACGTTTGACAGGCTAGATAGTCTGATACATACAATTCTCCTCTTCCAGTCATGGTATTGGTTGCCAAACTCGACCGATCCGTATGAAAATTGTTGTGCGTATTCGAAAGGTATATAAGAATGGGTCATCATCTATTTTTCGAATCGATAGATCAAGATGGCGGAGTTCCGTAATCCGAATTTCCTCAAAATTGGTATCTGAGGATTATTGTGGTAGATATTTATGATTTATTCGTCAACATTAGGAAATTCAAAATGGCAGATCCAATATGGCGAAGGAGTTTCATGATAAGGAAGCAACTTCATTCAAAATTAGTGACTAGGGGTTTACTGAGTCGGAGAATATGATTTCCTCGTCAGAATTTGGAATTCCAAGATGAAGAATCCAATATGACGTACGAGCTTTTCAATTATAATCAAATTATTCATCTAGGAGTTCTTGGGGCCAAAGATTGAAATGCATTCGTCAAAATCAAACAGATGGCGAATCGAAGATGACGAACGACTTTTGTAATAATGGTCAGATTCTATGAAATCTGATAACTGTGTCAAGGTCAGAGATTATGATTCCTCCGTCTTAATTAGGATATTCAGAATAACGGATCCAATATGACGGACGATTTTCTTGATTATCATCAGATTCTATTCAAAATTGGTATCTGATCGAGAGTTCTTGGAATCGAAACTTATGATTTTTTTTATATCCAAAATTCGGGTATGGGTGATTTTGGGGTTGGAGATTATTATAATTTTCCCATTCAGATTGGAAAAACAAATATGGATGATCCAATATGGCGAACTAGTTTTGTAATTATTATCCGAATCTATTCAAAATTATTTCCTGGTTCGGGGTTGAATATTCTGATAAATTCTTTGGAAATTGGAAAATTCAAGATGGCGTATGCAATATGGCGAAATAGCTCTGTAATGAGTAATGTATAGAAATTCACAATTTCGAACTAGCAGGACATCATGGAGTAGACAGAGCCCTCAGTAGAATTGGTGTCCGGTACTACTGGCCCGGCATGAGAAGATCAGTTACCGAACATGTTGGTAAATGTGTAGACTGCCAACGTTTCAAAGCATTCAAATTGACGCCCACAGGACTACTACAAACACCTACTCAATCTCAGAGATTCGTGGTTCTATCCATGGACCTATTCGGCCCACTTCCTGTAGCCCCTACTGGTGAACGATGGGTATCTATAATAGAGGATACAGCCAGCAGATGGGTAGAGTTGTTTTTGCTGAAGACAGCGACTGCAGATGTCTGTGCCAGATGTTTGATTGATGAAGTAACACTGAGATGTTTATAACTATGGTGTTTCCACTTGTCAATTGTTTTTCGTCAAAAAGTGTCGATGGATTATTGGCCATAGTTCTGAAATCACCCGTAGAGGGCGTCGCGGCTATAAATTATCGTTCTACCAACCTTGTTAATTATCTGCAGTTCTGTGTGCCTGTTGTCAAGGTCGTTGATTGTCAAATTTATCGATTTGAATTTCGAATTCAAAATTAGTGTGGATTCATTCCGATTCCTAGTTATT